ATCTTTGAATTAAGAAAGTGCTTTGGAAAATTTTGCCAGTGATCTCTTTAACAAAGATTTTTTTCATAAGACAAATAATCAAAATATTGATAAATATTGCTGACAGCAGTGCAGTCCGTGTTATGATTAACTCCTTTGAAATTTAAAAATGTGTTACAAAGAGGAAACTAATGTTTCAAAGTAACTAATGTTACAAAGGGAAAACTATATGTTTAACTAATATTTATGAAAGTTACTCAGTTACTTGTTTAAAAATCCAAAAAGCTCATTCAGCATTTCTCGGAACCTCTCATGAATGAGCAACATTGCTCGTTCAACCTCTTCTGAAGAACTGAAGAGGGGAAAGCAGCCTCCAGATGATGACAAGGAGCTGAAATTCAATGCTAGCACTCTGCAGTCAGTTTCTGGGAGGTCCTGACACCCTGAGCTTCTCTTTGTGTCCTCTCCAGAGGGCTGGAGCAGCCCAGCTCCTGCTGGGGTGCCACAGTCCCTGTGAGCATCCTTGGGCAGGGCGTGGTCCTGCTTGGTGTCCCTGGCCTGGCGGGACAGTCCTCTCCCGGAGCCAGGTTCTGTCAGGGCAGGGCATTTCAGGGTCTGTCCCAGCAAGGCACGGAGACACGCTCCTTGTGCCAGGCTGCGCCCTGGCTGCGCTGCAGGCATTGCGAACGCCAGATGTGCAGCTCCAACAGCGCCACTGCAGCTGTGAGCTCCAGCAGCCGTGCAGCTCCAACAGCATTGCAGCCGTGCAGCTCCAACAGCATTGCAGCCGTGCAGCTCCAACACCACCCCAGCTGTGCAGTTCCAACACCACCGCAGCCGTGCAGCTCCAACAGCACCACCGCAGCCGCGCTGTGCAGCCATGTGTGTCACCTCTCACTGCCACACCACACTCGTGTAGCGGGGAAGGTCAGCAGGGCCGTGCCTGTCGGGCACTGAGCACAGCCAGCTGCCTCCTTTGGCCACATCCAGCCAGCCTGGCAGCTGTCTGAAATGCCAGCGTGCAGCAAACCGTGAGGGCACTGGAGAATTGTGGTGAACTGTGATATTGCAGCTCGCAGAAGGGTTGGTTTGTGCATGCATTCCCCAGACCTTCTCGCACCACCTCTGTCTCATGAGCCTGCTCCTGAGGTACTTGATATGCTTATATTGCCTTCGTGTACTACTCTTGGCATATACTTTCACTTAAAATTGCTCTCTCTGCTTTTCACTTCCCTGCTACTTGGTACCTTGCTTGCTAGCCTGAACAGAAGGAATCACTTTCAATACCATTTAAAATGCTGTTTTTCTCAGTTTGCTCTGTTTTCTTGGGGCTGAATGGCTTTGATTTAATAAACCTGGATTTTTCAAGGAATAATACATACAATAATAAGATGGGACATATGGGAAAACAAAAGCTTTTTAAGGAGGAAATGGGATTTGATGAGAAGTGCTATTCCAATTGAAATCAAGAAAAGTTTCTTAACCATTAAATAGATGTTCAATTATTATAATTACTATCTGGTAATGACTATCAGAAAATTCATAATTAGAAAAAAACTTAATTTGAATGCTAAATGTCCTGGCATTTCTCCTCAAACAAACATTACCTAAGTCCATCTAAGTTAACTGGAATGCCAGAAATAGTGAAGTAGAAAAATGCATCTTTACTCTTAGAGTTTTGATTACTTTAGAATATAATAGACTAAGACAGCTCCAAGCTAGCATTGGTATTTATCCCCTGTGGTTGAGGTTGGAGTGTAGTTCACTGTATTAGCAGAAGTATTTTGCATGTTTGAGTATAATTAGTTTCAGCTATACAGAGAGATTTGGTATTTGAATTTATCTTTACTCTTGTGAAGTGTAATATAAGTATATTTCCAGAAAACCTGCCAGAACTGGGCAATTTTTGTAGGAACTATACAAACTCTTAGGGTGCCCTTTCAAAGCCAGCTCATCAATCTAGGACTGCCCTGCCTCAGAAAGTGACAAACCTCTCTGCTTTGCTGGCTCCGTGGTTCTGCCTGCTACTTTGCATTTTGATTTGGAGAAGGAAGTAAAGGTCCATTTAATTTTAATTTGGATCGGCTACGACTTGCCTTGGAGTCAGTGGAGGCAGCGCAGGGAGAGCTCAGAGGAGGCTGGCGAGGGTGAGGGGAGCCCTTGGCAGTGCCGTGCCCTCGCAGCAGCTGCAGGTGACTGTGGAGCTGTGCCGTGAGCAGCATTATGCACAGAGGCATTCCAGCACCTGGCAGACATGCCTCTGGTGGTGTTTTTAGTAAAGCTTAACTCTCAGCATTTTAATCATTCATAATTCTGCCAGTGTGTCCACATGTTAAGGATAATATGTTGGAGTGCAGTCATAAGTCAGCCCACAATCTTTATAGTTCTTTTTTCTGAAGTTACACTGCCACCTGTAATAGTGAATGTATTTGAATCTTCTATGACATTTTTGTAAAAGGAATAGAAATTCATTTTAGTATTTCTTCTTTATTTACAGTGTCTCGTTTTTAGTGTGTTCCCGAAACTAAATTTAAAAAAGCCAGTTTCTTCTTTTATTTGCAGGCATTCTTCTGCTAAGCTCTTGCACTGTGACATGTCTTATGTCTGTTGCAGAGCTTCTTCATCCTTTCCAGGCTCTGACACAGTTTTGAGGAAGTGTGAGTTTCTGCTATTACCAGATGTCTCCTGTTTAAAATACCTGTTATTACACTTTAAAAAAAATATTATAACTAATGCTTCTTTAGGTTTAAAACTTTAAAACTTTACACTTTAAAAAATTATTATAACTAATGCTTCTTTAGGTTTAAAGTTCACTGAATTATGTTTAAAACTTTAATATTCTTAGAGCCAGTCAAGTTGAGAAATATTTGCAAGTAAAGGGTTCCTGTGGCATTTCCAGAGAGGCTTTGACAGGGGAATACCATAGGCTTCTTTAACAAAAACCTCTTTGGGAGTACTGGCCCCAAAAAAATAAACCAAACCCCTAATTAGTGGCTCCTGTGTTTGCCACTTGCAATAACTTTTTTGCACTTGCCTACCAGCTAGACTGAAAGGTCTCCAAGGAGTGGAGTTGAAAGAAGCATTTGATCCATATTCCATGTTTTCAGTGGGAAGCATCTCATGAGCATTGTCCTAAATGTCCATTTCCTCTCTAGGCTTTGCAGAAGGACTGTTAAGGGAGAAAGCCTTGAAAGCAGAATGAAAAACTGCTACAGAAAAGCTTTCTTGCCAGAAGCTGCTAAATGAAATAAGAAATTGGAGAGAAATACATTTCTGCACCTTTACTTTTGAACAGGTTTTTTTTTATATATATGAGTGACTAGAACATTTTGCAGTTTGTTGTACTTGGATGCGTACTTCAAACCAAATCCATTCTTCCATTCAAGTATTTTAGCTGTCCAGATGCTTCTAGGGGAAATAAAATTTAAAATTTGCAAGTGATGGATAAGTGAATGGATAAGTATTTGTAAAATATGTGCTTTTTACATTCTTTCTTGTTTGGTTTTTGTTCCTGAGTTCCACAAAGCAGACGAATGCAGAGTCTCTCGTTGAAGGTTTTATTTCTGCTTAGAATCTGGGCTGCAGGGCCAGAAGTCTGACACAACCTGTGCACTGGCCAAGCTTTTAGCTCTGTCCTTTCACAGCCTTCCACATCCACAGTGCTTCAGTGAAGAAGGGTTTCAGGTGGAACAAGCCCTAAAGCAGAAAGTTTCTTGGAGTAGGCTAAAGCAAAAATATTTCCTTTTCATTGTCCCGTGGGCCTTTCCACACTTTGTGAATAGGCAATGAACAGGCTCTCCTGCCAAGGTGATCATTTACACCAGAGCTCCATGCCCATAAAATTAAATGGTTTAGAGAACTATTTTATTAGCACTGCAGCCACAACTAAGGTTGTTTTCTCAAATGTATAAGCCTTTTTTTTGGTTTTTTTTGGTTACAAATTGTGCAAGCAGTTTGAATACCTTAATTAGCAAAACTTCTTGAAAATGAATTGCACTAATGGTTAAAATTAAGGACTGATCTAATAGATAGTATTGCTTTTTGGAAGAAAAATGAGGAAGACACAAACAGAAAAATCAATACTTGAGAAATAGAGCCATCTAAAAAAACATTAGGGTTATTTTCTTCAACCCAGAGTCCTCTGGCCTCCAGAGAGAGGTGTGCTGAGAAAATATCTTTGCTGAACCCATTCTATGCTTTTACAAAAGCATAAGCATGTTTATGGCAACATATAAAGAGCCTTTGACGTGCAGGATCAAATCTGTTTAGACTGAGCACACAAGTGAAAAAACACGATAGAAACTTAATTTTCACATTTCCTGTGTAATTTGAGTATTTCATTCCTCTTTCAGAGTTGGGTTTTCTTGTTGTGGTTTAGTTTCCTTTTGGGTTTTTTTTTTGATGACCACAACATCCACATTTTCTCTCTTTACTCGTTCAAAGCTGTGCAAGGAGGAATTTTTATTAGTTGGTTCATCAGAGTTGATTGTATTTTGAGTGTTGAAATCAGCAAGCTGTGCAGGTGGAACACATGGTGTTTGACATATTTTTTCTGCTTTATATTACTGATACAAGTCTGTGCAAAAAGTTTTAGCAGAAAATAAAGATACCAGATTTATAATTTTTATAAATATGTTTGTAAACATATGCTCAAGGAAACACAGATTCTGTAATAAGTCCTCAAACCTCTGTGTTTTTCACTTAATACTTGAAAGTTAGGGGGTTTTTAAGTTGCTATAAAAATTGTAAAAATAACTTTTTGTGTTCAAATCTGCTGAAATAACCTTAGTACAGGTCAAGTAGTCCACAACTGCACTGTAAGCCCTTATGCATTCCCAATTTAAATTCTAGACACCTGGTAAGTTTTAAATTATTATTAAATGTGTAGGTACTGTGCCACCAAAGTAATGAGTGGGTGCTGGCATGCAAAGTTATGTGACATTTGAATATATTTCTAATCTGAATTATTTATGTTTTCCAGCACAGGACCACAATCAACGTATCTGTGTTCCAGTTTCCCTTGGGCTGTTAAACCCTGAGACATCTGGTGGCAAATACTGAGCTCAGGATTGATACTGGCCTTTCAGTCAGATGGAGACTTTGGAGGAAAAGAGCAATCTCCTCGGTTTACAGGCAGACAACAGCATGGAGCAACCATTCACTGTCAGCTCATTGGTATGTATTGCAGAGAAATGTTTCAGTGGCTGAGCAACTTCTCTTTCAATTAGAAAAAATTTCAAGAGAGCTGTTTAGCAGTGGTGGCTCTCAGCTCCATGGGTCTCTTCCTGCATGCTTCCTGACAGTTTTGTTGGAGTTTTTTATATTTGTGTGTGTGATTTATGGGGTGTCAGCAACCAGATTTTTAAGAAATTGAAATGAGCATTTTGAATAGAAAGAGTAAGAAATCTCATCAAAGAGGAAACAACTTGCAGTAGCCATTTATTTATTTATTACCAGGAAGGTAATGACCGTAATAAGCAGCTATGGTTCTTCTTCAGTAATTAGTTCAAACTCCTTAGTCTTTAACTGCCTCATTTAAAACTGGAAATGAAGATTGGAAGTGAACTGTTGACTGACCCGAGGAGCTTATTGCTCTTGGTTTCCTGAACTATTTCTAGCAGTCAGATGCTATACATCATGTAGTAGGAGTCTGAGTATTCAGGACATCCATCACATTATTTCAGTGACTTAAGACAGAACCTTATAGAATTCATGCGTGGGGGTTTTTTAAGAGGACACACTTTATACTGCTTTTAGTAATTTCTACAGAAATTTACTTTTTTTTTTTTTTCTACAGGTATTTTCCTAATTTTATCCTTTTTTTGTTGTTTTCAGAGGGAATAAAGTCACTTTTCTTTTAGATCACAATTTACTTGCGATTGAGAAATATGTTGGAATGTTTCAGTTGTGGCTAGAGGTGGGGAAACCGATGCCTGTTCTCAGAAAAAACTAGCAGAATATTTCCCCTGAGCCTGTTGACCGAGACCACTTACTGAAAGCGAAACAGAGTTCATGATTATTCTCTTAGCTAACGAGACTGTTCTTTCTCAGAAAAAGCTGGTGGCTATTCCTGACCACACAGACATCTCTGTGAGCCCAGAGGAGAGAGTGCGTGCCTTGAGCAAGCTGGGCAGCAATATCAGCATCAACGAGGACATCACTCCGCGGCGCTACTTCCGATCGGGAGTGGAGATGGAGCGGATGGCGGCCGTGTACATGGAGGAGGGGAACCTGGAGAACGCTTTCGTGTTCTACAACAAGTTCATAACGTAAGGAAGCAGTTGTAGCCATCACAGCTTGCGATTCTGAGAGAACTGAAATGGAGAGCTGCACCGAGAGCCCCTTCAGATAAGGAGAAATTTGGTTAATGTGTTCTTGCAGGACAGATTTGTTCTCTGGAGATCTTTTACACTGAGCATGGGCTTTGCTAAAACCTCCTCTCACTTTTTCATGTGGTTGTCCTATCCAGGTGTGAGCTGCCAGGCATGAATTAACCTAACATACAGAAGTTTGAGTTAACTCTGCCAGGCCATACCATGAACACTGTTGCCCCCAGATTATTCTTTATATGTCACCATATTGGTTAAATACAATTTTTGACTTTAAAAGCAGTGTTTAAGTAAGATTTCTAAGCCTTTATTAGTTATGTCCTATGAGCATCTGCTGATCTTAAGGATGGTAGTATTGCACAATATTTAAAAATCATGAGAAAAGTGTTTTCTTGCTTTCATTTTACTTTTGTCCCCGAAAAAGGATTAAGTATAATTTATTGTTTCTTACAATAAATGCAAATTCTACAATGTATGTTCATGATTATTCTCCTTCCCACAAAAGAACAAATCTGGCCAGCTTTCATTACAACTCTCAAAATAGACAGCTGAGAAATATATCACTGGCAGATTTACACTTTTAACCTAGCTAGTTTTGCTGTAGGATTGATTGGTTTGTTTTATTACTTTGGAAAGGGTTGGGGTTTTTTTAATGTGCATATTTAAAACTTTTTAAAAAGGAAAAATCCTTCCTCCCTCCTTATTTTCCTCATACTCTGAAAACTAGACCAAACCTTTCTTAGCTCACCTGTTTTAAAATGTATCTATCTCTATAAAAAGAGGGTCTGGAGGTGAATATTGTGAAATTGCTGAAAGAAGGATAGCAGCTGTGCATCACAAACTCTTTGCAGCTGAGTGTTGCCATAATTTATCTGTGCAGCTTGGTCTGGTAAAAATACCTGCTTTAGTGACAGTCAGTGTTGCATTCATGCCTTCCATTGGAGAGTCAGCATTTTGGCTAAGAACAGATAAAGAGAGTAGAAATAGGATTTACTAGCACTGGCTAGAGTGGAGGGTGTTTTTGAGGATATTTTTAGATGCTGGCTGCTAGTTAGTCCTTTTTTTTTTTAACCTAACCCAGTACTAGTGTAAACCAAAATATATCAGATGTGGAAAATAATTTCCTGTCCTTATTCCGTGTGTCCCATACAGGTCCATACCACAATGTGTTAGTTTAAACATGTGTGTTGAGCCCTGGCCCAAGTCATCTGGAATTCAGTGTTTAACAGTTGTGTGAAACTGATTTTTCTGCCAACGTGCAAGCTATTATGGATATTCTTCTGATTAAACACATGCATATTTAATTTTCTAGGTTGTTTGTAGAAAAGCTGCCCAGTCACCGAGACTATCACCAATGTGCAGTACCAGAAAAACAAGATATTATTAAGGTAGGGTTATAGTTTCCTGGTATTTATTTTGCTCAGAACCTCTTCATTTTTCCTAGCCCATATAGGCCATAGCTTCTTTCCCCAGAACACCCATAGCAGCCAGCACAGATTCAATTTCTGATACTTTTCTCCACTACTCATGCATGTTTTATTTTGGAAATTAAATTATTTATGTAAAACGTGAATGAGAATGGTCTGAGTAAGTAGGGAGGTTGTTGGGAGCCCAGGTACATCTATTTCTGAAAGTCTGCATATTAAAAATGCACATGTTAACAGTACTTAGTTTGATTCTGGTCCCAATTATGTGAATGGATAATGGTCCAAACTGACTATTGCAAACAGAAGGAGAAATGTGTGGCATTACTGATGCCTGTGCAGTATTTGCTTACTCTGCTAAATAAGTAAAGTATATTTTTTTCTTTATTTATTACCAAATATGTATTTACTTAGTTTTTTACCAGATTTTTCCCCTCCACTTCCATACAAAATAGTTTTACTTTTGTTTTTTTTTCCCCTCTAGAAAATAAATCCTAAATAAATGTTAAGTATTTAAGTATTTAAGTAGTTAAGTATTAAGTAAGCCTTATACTGAACTTAAAACAGCTAGAACTACCCAGTGAGAGTTGCTAGTAGGACTATGAGTGTCTCTTGCTCCATGCCCCCATGTTTGCTTGCTTTCTCTACGGTTAAACTGAATGTTTTACTCAAAACCAAAACAATCCATGGCAAAGTTCCGACTGTGGTCCAGTAGGAGAACATCCCTACTGAGAAAGGGCATCTAACATTGCTTTCTCCTGTGGCACTCAGTAGCATTAAGCACATGGTCGCTTTCCCTCCCTTGCCTTCAGTCTCTGAGTTATTTTGTAGTAGCCTTCACATGAGTAGAAAGCATTGGGTATTGGTTCTGTTTTATAAGAAATGTTGTTTTGCCAGGTCTGTGACAGAAAGCTGCAGGTATAACTATCTCTTAAAAAAAAAACCCTTTTTTCCCACTTGAAAATAGGTATATTTAGACATATTTCTGACTGGGAAGTTTCAGAGAAAAATGCAATGATCCTACCTGAAACTCTCTAAGTTGGCCTTAGCAATTTTTTACAAATTACACCTACAACAAAAACATTACTCATCACACACCTATTAAACAAGACAGAGATAACACACTCCTTGTAAAAGGACTAATCTTACCTTGAGATAAGAAGCAGCCATGTCACATGTTTCACTAATGTAAATCAATATATTTATTGAAACTGATTACTGTAGAAGTTTCATAAACTGATGATATGGTCTGTGTTTCCTCTTTTGCTTTTTTTTCCTGTAAGAAGAGTAGGTTTTTTCTGGTTTGTATTTTTAAAAAAATCTGTGTTACAGCTGAGTTTGTTTTCCAGGTGGCTCTTTCAAAAAGTGAAAAGTAAACTTATTTATCTTTTTCCCCATTCCACCTCAAAGAAATTGAAGGAGGTTGCATTTCCACGGACAGACGAACTGAAAAGAGATCTTTTAAAAAAATATAACTTAGAATATCAAGAATACATGCAACACAAAGTAAGTTTTATATGATTATTAAATGTTTACATGAATATTTTTCTGTCATATAAAACCTGAAAATTAAGCAGTAAAATGCCAGTTTTACAAGAACCTAATAATTTCCTGAGCTGCTTAGGAATGACTTTTCATTTCTTCTTCAGAATTAGCTGGCCATTTAAAAATATGTAATGCAAATGTGTGCTAGGAAATACATGTGCTGCCATGTTTAATTAATAACTGTCTACAAAGATCCAAGTAGATTTTTTGTATGCTCCAATTCTGCCTTATAAAGAAAATGAAATTGATACTCATGTCAATAAAAGGAAAAGATTCCTTGGCTCCAAATGCGCTCTACTTTGAACTGAGATTGAAGCCACTGAAAACAGGATCTATAGCTTAAAAACTTCTCTTGGAAAAAGCATCCAAGAAACATCTATTTTGTTCCATCCATCAATGCTATGTTTTCCATCCTACCTTTGGGAATATATTTGTATTTTCCAGTTCAGTAACCAGGTTCCAAAAGAGTTCCTTTTTAATGACAGGATTTTATGGTTTTATTGAGCTGTAAGATTGCTCCCTTCCTTCCATTTTTCATAGCATTTTTGGTGTTCTGAGAATGTCACTACATTGTGTATGTTTCAGAACAAATGTAGAACTGAATTTCTGAAGAAACTGGAGCACCAGAAGCTCATAGAGGCAGAGAAGAAACGAATCGCACATATGCGGCAGCAGCAGCTCGAATCGGAACAGTTTCAATTCTTTGAGGATCAACTTAAGAAGCAAGAGCTAGCTCGAGATCAGAAAATCAAAGAGAGTGTGGTTATGTCTGAGCAGATGGATGGAAGTATGCTGTCTTGTATTTCTGTACCAGAGAACAGCTCCTTATCTGCGGCGCTGCTGGAGAAGAAAGAGAGGCGCGGCACCTCCGGCTGTGCTGGACATTCGCCGCCAGTGGAACGGGTCTTAAAGCCAGCAGCTACTCTAAGTGCTGTTCAGAGTAAGTGCAGACATTTATTTTATCCCCTATTTTATTTTATCTACCTGCATATGACTTTATTCACTGTGAGGATGCCCATACTGAAATAACCATGAACAGGTTTGTGCAAACACAGCAGTTCCTTATAATTTCTTCATTTTAAGAGGGAGAGTTGCACAGTTTCACATTTTCCATTTGAGTACCAATGGATGGATATAGAGATTGAGATTTAGTGTTTCTGTGAAACGAAGTCTGAATCTTGCCATGGGCTTCAAGAGAACAGAAACAGAACCTGCAGTGGTTCCCCCTGGAAAGCCCTGGCCTGGGAGATGGTCCCAGCTGACTGTCACCTCAGGGACAGGCTAGTGAGTGCATCTTGTGGGCTGGTGGCTTCAATTTAGATGAAGTGCTTGTCCTGTAGATTTATTCTCATTAAAGTCTATGATGTGGTAAGTATAATTCTTCCACTTGTAGTAATATAGTATAACATACTGTGTATATTTCCTTATTTTAGGGATCTTCATTGTATTAGCTGTTAGCTGTAAATGCCTTTTTATCTCTCTTTCTCTCTTTTTTTTTTTTTTTTTTATTCTTGGTTAGCTCAATTGGCCGAAGCACTCAGAGGTGTCATTTTGCCCAGGGATCTCTGTCACAAATTTCTGCTGCTGGCAGAGGCAAATACAGTAAGAGGAATAGAGACATGTGGAATTCTCTGTGGAAAACTGGTACAGTTTAACCCTCACATTTGTATGGGGAAGGCATACTTGATAGTGCTGTAATATCCTGTGATGTATTGATTTCAGAGCAAAAGCAGACATAAATGGTTAGCCTTCCATGTAATGAACTTCATATTATAACCTGAGTGGTCATTTTAGCACTGTGGGCTTGCTTTGCTGGGGAAACATCTGCTCAAAGTACACTGCTATTGCTGTAAAGCCTAGCAAGTTTTTCAGCATGCTGTACAATACAGGCTTTTTCCAGTACTTTCTCTGGCATTCTTCTAAAGTAACTGAGGTTTAGTTACAGGACAATGAAATATAAAGACTGCCAGAATCCACTGGAGTCATCAAATGAATAATGGCACAGCAAAACAGAAATCCCCCTATCAAGCTGTAGAACATCTGATTTTCAGGCTGGTTTTTTTTCCTTTGACCTAGATTACACTTAATGTCCTTTGAGAGCAGGGAAAGATGTCATGGCTGATGCTGACATGAAGAAGTTTAGATAATCCCAAGTGTGTTTGAGCTGCATCAAGGGAAAGAACAGCAGTATTAGCCTTGTTTCACAGAAAATCATGGTAGTTTTCTCAAAGCTCTTCTTTGTGTTTTTAATTATTTTAAAGGACAGTCTTTTCACACTGATGACTGAGAACAGTTCGCCACAACAGTCTTGTGTTGTGACTAATACAACCCTGTATGTTTTCATAAAATGATAAAAAATGCTGAGGCATATTTTTAGGTACAGTATATTGGTAGAGCTGCACTGGAATCAGTGGAGCTGTACTGTTTTGTTTTAGCTGACATCTTTCAGATTTTGATTCAGCATTTATTCTCTAAGCAGTCTGTTCCACCCTAAGTCAATGTTTGTTTTGCAGACTCATAATGAATTTACTATTACACATGTAATAGTGCCAAAGCAAACTGCAGGACCAGACTACTGTGACATGGAGAACGTGGAAGAATTATTTGGTATTCAGGATCAGTATGATCTCCTCACTTTGGGTTGGATCCATGTATGTATGACTCATAGATTCTGGTTTTCCTATATTGGCTCTGCATACTATGTGAAAAAAAAAAAGTAAAAGAAATAAACAAAAGAAACAACTGGAGTAATACAAATTTGCTTACTGAATTCAAATTGTAGTGTTGTAAATAAGCACTCATGTTCTCCACAGAGAACTCCTTAATGCAATTGAGGCGTCCTGTTGACACAATGGGCCTACTTATGCTGCTGCAACTTTTTTTTTATGTTGATTTAGGGATATTTTATTACTTTCTAATGCCATATTCAAAAGTCAGGGAGGGGAGCATTGTGTTGTTTAAACTTTATATTACTTTTTCTCTTAGAGATTTTCAACAATTAAGTAATTTCCATTTGTCTTGTGCTTCTTCATTCCACCTTTTCCTCCCCACGATCAGAAAAGTGCTTGTATATCTGATGGGGAACATGCCTTCATGAAACTCATCCTGAAAAGCCTTCTTTCAACCTCCAGGTTGAACAGTGTAGGACAGTATAGACCCTGGGCTAAGAAGAAGTTTAGAAACCAGCCTGGGGAAGTACTGATGCTTTCACTTATAAAAAATTATTTTTTCTTCTGAAATGTATATTGACCTTGATCTGTAAGAAATATTTCATGATGTTGAGTTTTCCTTTTCTTTTTTGTAGACACATCCTACACAAACTGCATTCTTATCCAGTGTTGATCTCCATACTCATTGTTCTTATCAGCTAATGTTGCCAGAGGCCATTGCAATTGTTTGTTCACCAAAGCATAATGAGTAAGTTCTGATTTTTTAAGTAATATTTTAGTATTTTTCCATGCTTCCTGTCATAAACTCTGATCAAATGCAAAGGTACATGTCTACTCAGATGAAGGGCATGAACATTGTGTTGTGACTTTGTTTTCTATAAGTTGCCCAGACTTGCATTTCAGTCAGTGTCTGTGCACAGCATTGTTTCTGACTTCTCTCTTCTCCTCCCTTGAAAGATCCAGTTTTAAATTTTATTTTTTAATATATTCTGCTCAACAAAGTATTAATTACAGGAGCTATTCTTCTGGAGTACTCATTGCCAATGCCCTACCACAGATCTGTCTTCATTCTGCTGCTAAAGAGAGTTGGAGGGAGGTTAGGTTTATTTCTCTAGAATTATATGAAAATTTCAGTTTGTAAAGCAGAAGGGTAAAAGTCACTTTTTTGATAATAAGGATCTATTTTTGTATTTCATAAATTACAAACTATGTATCTGGAAAAAAATAGAATAGTGCAAATATTAATGTGAAGGTTTGTAATGGAACAGGTTTCCCAGAGAAGTCATGAAGTCTGCATCCTTGGGGATATGCAAAACGTGACTGGACATGGTGCATGGTCCTAGCAACCTGCTCAAGGTGGTTCTGCCAGAGCAGGAGACTGGACCAGACACTCTTCAGAAGTTGCTTCCAACCTCAACAAATTTGTGACTCTCCTTTGGTGTGCCTGGCATTTCAGATTGCCAGGGCCAGCTCCATTGTTTGGAGTGTGCATTTCATCAGCCTTTCCTTCTGGCCTTCTGCCTCAGTAGATGTGAATCCTGTCCTGGTTGCCTAACTTCCTAAATGGGCCCTTCAGGTAGCAGCGCTGTGAACACAGGCTGGGAGGCAAGGGCACAAGCACCAGCACTTCTAACCCTGAGCACGCCTGCACACCTTTCCAAATTTCTGCTCTTACAAACCTCTCTCACAGCTGATACCCTGTAACCAAATCTGACCTGTAACATTTATATTGTCAGGGGCTGCCCTGTGGGTAATAGGTTCTCTTTACAGAAGGATGGCTTTGTAACATTTTATTCAATACCTAAAAAGATGCAGCAGTGCGTTTTTCTAATGCTTTGTGTGATTACCTAAAAGAGGGGGGAGGATTTACTCCTACTAGTCATTTACACAGCTGGTTTAAAGGCTGTTATCTTTTAAGTTGCCCTGGGTGAAATGCAATCCAGAACACGTAAGTTTCTGGTTTGCATCTGTTCCTGTGTGAATCAGCCTTATCCCTCAGTGGCCTAACCTGCCTAACAGGAGCAGCACCAGTACTGTGATCCTTTTTCTCCCCTTCCCTTCATCATCTCTTCCTTTACAGGAATACAACTGCCTTTGATTTAAAATACCTTAAAAAACCCAGCTCAGCTGGGGATCCTGTGTATTGAAGGTCACCAAGCACCTTTCTGTTGTCCTTCTTTTAAGCTAAGGAATTTGTATGTGAAACCTTGGACGAGTACTATGGGAGCAGTGTGTAACAGGAGTCTCATGTTCTGCTTTTCAGCACTGGCATCTTCAGACTGACTAATGCTGGCATGCTAGAAGTTTCTGCTTGTAAAAAGAAGGGATTCCATCCACATACAAAGGACCCTAGATTATTTAATGTAAGTATATAATTCAACACAGTGCTTACTATTCAAACTCCTGACCACGGTTCTGTTTGCAGGTTCTGCTGCAAACAGAAACTTGAGATTATGTTTCTTAATAACTTTCCCCCTGTTTTACTAACTCATTACCCTTAGTTTACTGAGCAAAGCAGACATCAGGAGACTACTTAAGCTGTCATTAGCAGCCATGAAGTGAGTGTTACAAGCTGCCATTCAAATGGTGTTTTACCAGAGGTAGTTACTATCCGTCACCACTTTTACCTGCTTTCAAAAGGAGCAAAACTCACATTTTCAAATGGGAGTTACTCTTGAGCTCTTCAATTCTTAAGCAATGAATCAGTTCATCTCTCCAATTTTAGTGCCCCAACAAAACATCGCAGCTGCTTAAAAGTGCAGCTATAAGTAGGTTGAGCTGTATTTCCTCCATTGCCAAAAGTTTGCCCTGGCTTCTCTAAGCATTTCTCTGTAACTGCTGCATCTTTTGATGTTTGAACAGAGCAATGGTGTATGTATGGCTGAGCAGTACAGTCAGCCAGAACTGTCTTCCAGCTAACACTGGCATTTCTGATAAGAGCCTTTACCTTTGAATAATTAAGGGTTTGGGTTTTTTCAGTGGGGTTCACTTCAAATACAGAAGAATCTCCTATAGCTTAAAAATTATCCAATACAGAGAAGTCATCTTGAGAGACATTGGAAATTACTGTGTTGTCAGCATTAGTCCTAAAGAGAGGTCAGAGTTTTTTTGTTTGTTCTGTTCTTTCATCATTGAGTGTAGGGATAATGAGAAGGTAGTCCAACTCTGAAAAAAGTTAAGATTTTTTTGTTCCAGGTAAGCTCTTTTCAGTGGTCTTTTACAGATGTAGTTCTTGAATGAAGTTACTGGGTATTTTACTGAGATTTCTGAGAGTAATGGGTTGACTTCTTCTGCAGCCATGTACCCATGTGGTTGGGAAAGACATAAAGATAATCGTGCTGGATCTGAGGTGATACAGATGAGCCACATCCATGTCCTCTACAAAAGGCCAAAAAAGAAAAAAGGATTCCTGTTTTTTCCTACATTTTCAGAAATTACTTTTATATTTATACATTTTAGATTGAATGGTTTGATATTTATTGCTCTAGCCTGTTTTGGAGTTATTTTGTTGCTCTGTCAAGATGGAGTTCAGTGGCATTAACCCTGAATCTGTAAACAAATCTCACCCATAAAACACAACAATAAAATGAACTTCAAACTACAGTAACTGTGTTGAAATAAGTATTGGTTTTTTTGTCGCTTTTTCACATTAATTACCTTCTGAGAATTATGTATTTTTCACAGTGGTTGGCTTTTATATGTAGTAGAGGCAAATCAATCAGTTCAGATGATTTTTTTTTTCCATCTTTTTCTTTTCTCCAACCTCCATAGCCCATGTTTCAGCTATTAAGCAGACGATACTTAGAAATATCCTAATCCTTTACCTGAGAGCTGATCCTCACCATTTCGGGATAGCAGGGATGCATCAGAGTCCCTTGGAGAAATGTGTCTTCTTCAGAAACCTGCCAGTAGAAACTTTAAATTGAAAGACACTCCTTATCTTGAAAAGGATTTCCTCAGTCTATCTAGAGTTAGATAAAAAGATCTAGACAGAGTTAGAAGGAAGAGCCATACAAAGTTATTTGCTTTTACAAGAGTTTATTTAGTAACTGTTCCAAGAACCTAGATGACCTATAATTTAAATAATAACGTTAGTACAAAGAGGTTTGCAACATGTGCTAACAGTCAGAAGCTGGACAAGATCTGAAACCCTGGGGTTATGAAGACATGGTAAATAACAGGTGCTGTTGCAAAGAGCTTACAGTTTGAAAGGTAACAAGTAACAGGCAAGTGAGGTAAACTATTGAGTTGAGAGAGGAAAATAGGTTAACAAAAATAAATAGCATCCTTTATCCTGAACTCTAATGAATACAGATTGCAGCAAGTTCCTTAGAAGTGACCTGTTCCAGGTCTGACTCAGTGAATTATTTATATATATATATACTTCTAAGACAATATTACCGGCTTCTAAGCATATATTTCTACCTGGTGTGTTTAAGATTATAAATGGAATCAGAAAAATCACAGAAAAAGAAAATTGTCAAAATTATTTTAGCTGCTTTGAATACATTACTCCCCCCCCCTTTAAAAAAACAGTTCTGAAAAGAAAGTATATTAAGCCAGCTTAATTACCCTTTAGATCTTGCTAGACATCACAAAATAAAAATAATAGGCTGCACTCATCCTGAGGGCATACAATAGAAAAGTCATATGTTTGACTTACTATTAGTGTTCAGATATGCTCCCAAAGGAACAGGTTTTATTTCTTTAAAGAAAACACAGGATTGTTGTGGTACATATCATACACCCCTGGGCCATGCACTGTAAGAAATTAGCTTTTCCAGCAGTACAGCTGTGAAGTAAGAAGTGAGATGCATAGATAATATTTCTGGATAGAGCAGATGCAAAGCAGCGTGCCCATGATATTGAACATGATATTCCTGATATTGAACAGATGCCGTGCTCCTTTGGTACGGCCTAGAACTTTGTAAGAACTATGGCTGGTTCTGTCTGCAGATTAAAATGTTTTCTGAGGCTAAACTTTGAGAACATGCAGCCTGACAGGTGAGCATCTTCTGGCATTGGTATAATCAAGCTAAAGGTACCACCATTTCTGTTAAGCCCAGTAGAGTGTAATAATAAATTCATGTCACAAGATGGAGCTTCAAGCCAGCTGTAATGGCATCTCCACACACTCATGGTGTGGCTTTTGTTTTTGTTTTAAATAGGAGCAGCAATTTCATAGCATATTTAAAATTTATTTTAAGAAATACACAGTATCCAATTAATTAGATTAATTATGATGAAGGATTTATGGAATGGAATTATAAGAATGTACTTTCCTGAATACATTCACACTAAGGAGACATATAAAGAAAAAGCAATTTAAAAGCATTTGCGGTGAACAATGGATGGGCCAGCTTCATCATATTCCTGTTTGCTGATCCACATCTGCTGGAAAGTAGAGAGGGAAGCAAGAATGGAGCCTCCAATCCAGACCGAGTACTTGCGTTCAGGAGGAGCAATGATCTGTTTAAGAAATAAAACATTAAGTGCAACTGTCTACTGTGAATAAAATACATTTTTATACAAAAATACTAGAGCAGTGATCTGTGATATTAACAAAAACACTGTATCTATGTGCTAGTGCTATCCATTGCTGCAAGCAGGAAAGTTTAGAATTTGTTATATAAATCTCAAATTCTCTGCCTGACTCAGCCTCCCCAGTGACCCCTATCCCTGGTGCACTCATGTGTTCCTGAGCATATGTGAGAAAAGGGGAGATAATTGCTCTGGAAACACGTAATGACAGTCCAGGTGGGCTTGAAAAAAATCAATGACCTATGGAGCACTACTTTTGGTATAGCTGATAAAATGTTTGTAAAGTTATCAAAGAACAGAAGTTTTTAAGCAGCAGAACAAAGATTCGTTTGTCAGGGTGTCTTTCTTTTTCAAACTTTAGCCAAAGACAAAACCAGCATTTCCTCTCTCCCGTGTCCATCAGACTAAAAGGGCTGAAGTAAAATTTATGTTCCTGGGTTCATGCTGTTCTTTGGCCACATTAGGACATTTGACCGAAATCACCATGAACAAGAAAATGAGAGAAAGTTCCTTTCTTCCAGCACCAAAGTTACCAGTTGGTGATTATTTGCTAGATAATCCAGATGTGATTCAGAATGTGTTAAAAGCACTTAGTTGCATGTTTCACTAGATCTTTGAGGACTTTATAAATGCCAGCTCACATAATCTACAAATGATTGCACCATACATACCTTGATCTTCATGGTGCTAGGAGCCAGAGCAGTTATTTCCTTCTGCATCCTGTCTGCAATACCCGGGTACATTGTGGTGCCTCCAGACAGCACATTGTTGGCATAAAGATCCTTTCTGATGTCTATGTCACATTTCATGATGCTGTTGTAAGTGGTTTCATGAATGCCAGCAGACTCCATGCCTGGAGAAGGTACAGAAGAGCACTGAGGAAGCAACTCCATACAGACACTTAAAATTGTTAATGCAGAACTGACATGCTGTTTAGTGACTCTTTGCAAAACGTCAGTCTCAGAGCTTTGGAAATCTGGAAAGTCATTTTGCAGTTGCCTAAATTATTTGCTTAAGTGTTCCTTAGTGTACAGCCCTCTTCTCCCCCTTACACACAACAAGTCCTCCTTAAAAAGAAAGTTGGGGCTGTGGAATAGCAAAGTTTCTACTAGGCTTCTGCAGGCAATCTCAGTTGTCCTAAGAATTCCTTATATGGTCTTGGAATAATTTGTTTTCTTTTTTTTCCCTTTTTTTCCTTTTAAAATTAACTCAGTGACAGAACATTAAAAATATGTCCTAATACCTCTAGGTATGCAACTGCTTTATCTCTGAGTTGAAATTCTGCCTATTGGCAGAACTGACACTGGGTTTCTGTGTGACCTAGTTGCAAATCGGCCTTCATGGATGTTGATTAGCATGGCATCCTCTTGGCTTTGCTCCGAAAAGGCGATGAACCATGGATTCGGGATTTGGAGCAGTCTTTTGGAAAAATAAAAGTAGGTCTTGCTGCCTGCATGCCCCTCCCACCTCCTTCCCACTCCTGGCAAGCACATTCAAACATACAAAATGGCACAGGCCCAATGCCAGAAGGCAGGAATAAATTGTGGATTTATTTTGGGAAAGCATTTTGGCTAATTGTTTAACTTGAAGTTCTTCCCACCACATTAATAGACCTGTTCTAAAAGATTGTTTTATAATGGTGCTAGGACACACTCGTGTGTAGGTCTGGGTGAGTTACTAATGGAGCACAAGCAAAAGGAAACAGGGCCTTGGTATTTCTGTGCAGTTTACCAAGGCAGAACAGTCACTGAACCTACCAATGAAAGACGGCTGGAAGAGGGTCTCTGGGCACCGAAAGCGTTCATTTCCAATGGTGATCACCTGACCATCAGGAAGCTCATAGCTTTTTTCCAGAGAGGAGGAAGATGCAGCAGTGGCCATCTCATTTTCAAAGTCCAGGGCCACGTAACAGAGCTTTTCCTTGATGTCACGGACAATTTCACGCTCCGCTGTAAAGAGGATTCAATCTTTAAAATGGCGTTCAGGAAGGACCCAGACCTGTTGACTGGTTGTTCCCTTTCATCCTCCAACACCCTCCCCATATTTCAAACAAATCCTCTGCTAGTCTTTCAAGGGGCTTTGATGTTGGAGACCTTCTCATGCCTATTCAACTGCAGAGCCACTGATAGTCCTTCTGAGGCCGCTAGAAACAGCGCCCATGAACAACGCCCCGTTCCCGCCAGCAGCGTGTCCTTACCAGTGGTCACGAAGGAGTATCCCCGCTCCGTCAGGATCTTCATGAGGTAGTCTGTCAGGTCCCGGCCAGCCAGGTCCAGGCGCATGATGGCGTGTGGCAGGGCGTAGCCCTCGTAGATCGGCACGTTGTGGGTGACACCATCCCCAGAGTCAAGCACGATCCCTTTGAGATGGCAACACACGGCTCATTCCCGTCATCCCCACGGAACCATTTCAAACATCTGTGCCAGGTTCCCCTGAGGCTTACCTGTGGTGCGTCCAGAAGCATAGAGGGACAGAACGGCCTGAATAGCTACATACATGGCTGGCACGTTGAACGTCTCGAACATAATCTGAAATGCAATTAAAATAATTGTCTTTAACACTACAGGGTTTAGCTTAGTTGAAGCAATTTACTGAAAAAGGGGTAGAATACAAGATTTTCATATTTTCCTATGCTTGGTAAAAGCGAGAAAGGAAAATACAAAATCTAAATACAAAATCTAAATCAAATATAAATACAAAATCTAAAATATTTGTCCTGTAAGGTATCTCCCTGTATTTGGCCTATATCTTTATCATATTAATATAGCCACATGCACATATTAAAGATAATTTTCTAATAGGCCTGGGCATAAAAATAGATAAAGATTACAAAGTTTGGACAGACTGGAGTCCTCACATTCAAAGTGGATACAGTGATTTTTCTAAACTATATGTAATAATATGTAAATATGACAGGTGGTCACTATGTGCTTTCCATCTCCCATAACTGAGAGACAGACTGCTGGACAGCGTGACTAACTGGAATGATGACGTTCACATCCTGCTGAATGAAAAGGTTGGACTATTCCATAGCTTTAGTGTGAGCTCACCTGTGTCAT